TTATAGCTCAAAAAAAGAAAACCTAACAATATATTATAAAATGAATGCGATGCCCAGTTGTATGTTTATACATTTGCTTTCAATGAGTCATACTTTCTTAGAATATTTATTTATTTATTTTAAGTGGTCTTGAGCAATAGTTCTCCAGAAACTGTTGCTCAGCATTATTAAAGCAGTAAGGGATCATCTTGACAAATAACAGTACAAAAGACAGCCAATATCCACAGAGGAGCTGTGAATGTCCTTGGAGAAGTCTGGAGAACTATTTTGGAAGACTACTTAAAGAAATGACAAGAGAATTCAGACTGTTTTGAAGAATAAAATATTGACTTTCAAGCTTGTTAGAGTTGTACAGATCTGTTTTTGCGTTATTTCTATAATTTCCCCAAAACAACCTAGAAGGTAACCTTTAAACACATTTCCCATTTTCCAAGCAACACTGTAAAGAAAGGAGGGGTGATGCAACATTTTTGCACAGTACTGCAAGAGGTTTGCCTGTAAAACACTGACTGTAGAACACTGTATATTGATTTCCAGAAGCTGCATCTACATTTGTGATCATATATGGGACATGTATGATCATATGAGCATGCGTCTGTGACTGCTTTTATACAGCAGAAATCCTAAATAAGACTGTTTAGATTTTTGTTATTGGAATTGTTGTCTTTTCTGTTTTATTATCTCAGTCAAATGCAAACTTGGTTTGTAGCACAGCGAAGGGCTCGAATACCATCCATCCATCCATCCACTTCCGCTTATCCTTTTCAGGGTCGCGGGGGGCGCTGGAGCCTATCCCAGCTGTCATGGGCTCGAATACATTTTTTAAATATAAATTTTAACAAAATCAGAAGGGAAAAAAATTAAGTCTTTGCAATTTGCCCAACTCTCTATTAGTTTTTTTGTAGCCAGGACCTCATTTGAACAAGGGTGGAGTGTTATGTTATCTTTAGCATGGAGTAGCAGATGGTTAAAATACTAGAATTTCACTCATAAAACCTGAAAAACAAACACCTTGGCTGGACTGTCCCACACAGCATGTCTTGTCTCTTTTGAAAGGTGACACCATGGTGACAGAGGGGGAGCCAACAGATTTTGTTAAAGTGTTGCACCTCATGGTTCTCTCTTTCACCTGGGGCATGCAGCTTTGGGTTTCCTTCATTGCAGGTAAGTGGGCCACAGAGCAACAAGGCATGGCTTCAACAAAATGCATGCGTTCCTGTTTTGACACCGTGTTAAACGTCTGTGCCTGCAGGCTTTGTGTTGATTCGGCAGGTAACTCGGCACACCTTCGGCCTGGTGCAGAGTAAGCTTTTCCCAGTGTACTTCTACTGCGTGCTTGGAAGTAACTTTGTCAGCCTGGCTGTGTATGCTGTGTACCATCCCAGAGAGTTGCTGGACTGGCATGAAAGTGTACAGGTGAAATATCACACGCTGCTAGGAATGAAAAAACTGAGCACTTTTGATTGGGGGAAAAAAGAAAAAATTAAACATTTTGTGAGTGAATCGTCATCGAGTTGCAAGCTTTCCCTTTTCATCTTCCAGATGCTTCTGTTCTTCGTGGCGCTGATCACTGCAGGTCTGAACGCCCAGTGGTTTGGCCCAGAGACCACTGAGTTGATGTTCTTGATGAGGGAGGTAGAGAAGGAGCACAACCTCGGGGAAGAGATCGGCCTGGGCAGCCAGAAAGAGGCTTACACCAAGCTCAAAGAACAGGATCCCAAGTACAAAGCCTACAGGAGCAAGTTTGGCAGTTACCATGGGTTGTCCAGCCTCTGCAACCTGATAGGATTCCTCTGCACCACAACTAATTTGGTCTACACAGCTTTGAATTTAGCCACCATTTAAAGACAATGTTTTAGTTATTAAAGAACCAAAATGCCGTGCACACTTTTGTACTTTGTTATCTAACAGTGTTTCTGGTTCAGAACACTGATAAATGTGCAGGATTTGTTGGTTCTTTTATCACTTTATGATACAGTAGGATTAGGACACACACTCATACGACTTGGATTGGAAGTACTTTACTTTACAAAAATCATTTCGCCAACTCTTTCTCTATCATATCAGTGTTGAATATGAAGTGTGAATCATAAATAGCAGCATATGTGACATTTTGCAAATGTAATTACAGAGAATTCTGCATCACTTTATCTGCCCCAAGTGTCCTTATGTGCAAGAACTATCTCCAGTGAGCATGCAGAACTCATCATGTGCTGTTCACTGCTGTCAGTTAAGCACTCTTAACCTTTTTGATTACAAAATGGTTTTTTTTATCTTGTATAATTTTATTTTATTTTTTGTCTTTTTTTTTTTTAATGTAGTTGGTTTTTATTTCTCAGAAAGCAAAGAAAAGTACCAAGCGACATGGAAGCAATGCACGTCCCTCCCCAGTAGGGGGCGATATTTGGACAAAGCTTTCAGATCCATCGTAGCACACAACATAATGCTATTTCATGTGCACCATGACTTTCTTGATTTTGTAGTGCATTTTAAACTTGTCACCACTGTTTAATGAAAACTATGACTGGATGATTAAAGTGTTGTTTTGATTCTTCCATTTGGATCAACCGAGTGATGTCAAAGTCTTTCTGGTGTTTGGCCTAGTGACACGAGCTTTAAAAGCAAACACTTATTTCAAAGAATTGGTTTAGGAAGAAGTGGTCCTGTGATTCTTGTGGATGAATAAAGCCAGGCCAAACAGACAGTGCCTGCTTTCAGAATAAGCAGGTTTTAATTAAATTCTCGGTGATGCACGTCAGGTTGTGAGGAGAGCAGCCTTGGATGCGGGGAACAGAGCTTTGCCGGCCAACTACAGGATAAGCGAGGCACCATTGCTATTAGAATATGAGCACTAATGGACTGTAGTGAAATCATTTCAATATAAAAAGCATAGGCTAGAGGCTGAAAGTAAATGAATTACCTTGTCCCCAATGCAATTAATGTTGGTCCTTTAAAGGCTGTGATCAGGTTTTTAATGTTTTCTTCCAACCCAATGAAAACAGCATTGTATAAACTGGCAGAATTGCTGTTGAGCATACAGTTTTATCTTACTAAAACACTGATGTGCCATGCAGTCATGTCACAAAATAAACAAGGAAGTTAGTCAAAGAGTCTTGAGGAAACAGCACAGCTACACATGCCAACCTTTTGAGGAGTGTAAGAGCTTTACCTGCCTATCAGGTTATCTGCTGCAGTGGAATCAGGAAATAAACCTTTTTCAACCAGGGAAGAGGTTTATTCACTGATCTCTTCAATATTTCTCATGCATTTACAGAGCTGTTAGTGATTATCTCAAAAAGTGAATAATGGTACAAGAATTCTTTGTATGAGGAAAAAAGCTGGACACAGAGAATATGGATGAACACACGATGTTAAAAACAGCTAAAATTCCTCAACTCTGGGTGTGCAAAATAAAACAAAAGAAAGCTAAGAACAAAAGGAATTGTTGGGGCCTCCTCGCAGACAGGTCCAACCATTCCTCCCTCATTCCTGAGTCACACAAGGAAATGAGTCTGTATTTGTTTCCGAGAACGTAATACTACTGCAGTCGGTATTCTGAAAACGCCTGCTAGTTTGTGGAGTCGTGATGGTATTGCAGTGCAGCCCTGCAGTAATATAGTGTGTTAAATTAATTATGAGTCTAGAAGTCTCAAGCTGCTTTATTCCATCATGTCTTGTGGAGAAATTGGTCCAATTTGCAATTGTCTGATTTCAGTGATGGATAATGCACCTATGCATCATAAAACACCGAGCTCCTAATAGAACCATCTGTCAAAGGATTCTGCTGCTCACTTTGATACAAGCATTAAGGGCCAGGTCTCACACAGCTTCACCTTAGACATGATCAAGTTTTCTGCAGTGTGCACCAGAGAAAAAAAATGAGCAAAGCTCCACGTCTTAACTGAGATTTTGTGATAATAGCTGCTGGACATTTTTCCTGATGCCAGTGTTTGCACCATTTAGGCTCTCTTCTAATGTTGAGTATCTATTCTTATCTATCCTTATACTTAACAGGTTCATTTGTATCTCTCATGTTATCGCTTATCTTATCTTATCTTATCTTGTATATAAGCTTAAAGGGTCAATCACAGGACAAAAAAGGGGATGGGGGAGCGGGGGGGGGTTACAAAAATCTGCAAGCACAGGTTAGATCCCTGTATATTTAATGTGTATATCTGTCTGTCTCCCCCCCCCAGATGTAGTTCCTTCTGAAAGCAGAGAGCTGGTCACTTCTCTTACACTCAGCTGTACTTCACACCACCGAGCTTGCAATCCAAATGCACTTAGCTGTGGAGCCCATTACTGGTAGTTTATTTTAAAATGACACAGAAAGGCTGTGATTGTTTGGAAGGATGAATCTTGGTTACAGTGAATACTACATGGTGAACCTTTGGCTCCCCCACCCCCACTATACCTTGACAAGTCAGTCTGGCACTCAGCATAGAACCACAAAGTATCATTTTACTGGCACCAATTGAACAAAATACAACAGTAAGCTTTAAGCCTGACCACAAATAAAGCAAATAAAGATTTGCTTGTTATCCATTCATAGTAGGCTCTTGCTGTACTCCTTTAAAGGTGCTTGTACAGGGATTTATTATTCATTAAACAAAGAGGAGTTAGCTGTTTCCACCCCCAGTTCTAATCTCCATACGTGCAACAGCTGCTGGGGCAGAGTGATATTATCATCAAACTCTCTGGGGGAAAGAAAAATAACCTAAGTATCACATCTTTCACAAAAAAGGAAACAATTAATGTAAATATCACAGGGTTACACAGCGAACTGGGGGGTGTCGCCATGCTAATGCAGGGCTGCATTAGCATAGTGAAAACATAGGAGTTTTCACTGCATAGTGAAAAACATAGTGAAAACATAGGAGTAAATATAATATAATATAATATAATATAATATTCTGAACTAACTACTGAGTCGTTCACGTCTGCGTAAGGATATTAGAAATTGCTTGTGTTGTTTATTCAGGGTGTGTGGCTCTCGCGCGTGCACTTGCGCACGCACGCTGGACAGCCCGCTCCTCCTCGCGCTGGTGGCAGACCTACACAGTGTCGTGGCGTTTAGGGTGCTTGAGTGTCCGCACCAACTCTGTCACAGCGAGAGCCGCGGCTTCAGCCCCAGCTGTCCACAAACCGAGAGCAGGTTGTAGTACGCGAACAGCGAAGCGAAGGAAAAGAAAAGTAGTTGTTGAGGAAGGGAAACAGGTCGGAGGGATATTTCAGGTGCACTTTATTAGCAGACTTTGATAGGTCGTTTGCTCCGCGTATTACCGGACGGGAGATACCAGAAGTAGAAAGGAAAACGAGTTGGACGTTTCCTTTCTTCCGCAAAAAAAGAGGTACGTTTCTCCCTTTCCCAGCTGTTTTCCTGCACAGTGCTTCCTTCATGTCCGACTACTAACTGGGAACCTTTACTAAAACTTCAATGTTTCCTGCTTTATCCCTAGGCTTTATCCTTTATCTGTGTAGGCTTATCCCTACAGAGTAATAATACACACTCTCGTTTTGCAGGAAATATGTTGACATAAACTAAGCTGTTATTTGTTTTGTTTTGTTTTCACCCAGTATCGAGATAGTACTGAAGCCTAAGCCTGAATTTTCCATCTGTGTTTGTGTCTCGGTCCTGCTCCTAATGAGAGAACAGATGTGCTGCTGCCAACTAATCGATAATGGTCATTTCCTGTTGGTTCAGGCAGACTGCTGCCTCTGGCTCAGCAAACAATGCCAGCTGAGGGATCTGGCCGCACTGCCATCAGGCTCTATATACCATAATGGCCTCTATTTGTTTTACTGGGGATAATGACGCTCCTTTGTGCAATAAAGGAGCTCCCATTCTCATCCACTCAGCAGCTCCCTGAATGGCCAGTTTCACTTCATGGAGGATGGCTGGTCTGTGGTATGAGAGCAGGTGCTTGTCTTAGTCTTCCCAGCTGCTCACTGAGACCTGGTCCTGTGGTGATGTTTGAATAAGCTGCTTTTATTTCCTCATATTGTTCTACTTATTTCAGAGACACCATTGGGTACTTTGACCATAGAAAGAAATCTTTATAACTGTCCTGCTTTGCAATTGTCTTTTTTTTTTTAAATATCATTTGCATACCCAGAAGTAACTTGACTCTGCAGAACTGAGCAACACCACAACAGGAAAAGCACTTTAAATTCTTGTAATCTCTACAACATGTAATGAACAAGTTTTAAAGTTTTAGTTTCTTAAAAATTTATGAAACGTCAGCAAGCTTATGTGAGTCTGCTTCTGCCTGCAGGCGTTCTACACTGCACAGTAAACACAAAGGACAAGTGACACGGTGTACTGCAGCCTTAAGCCGAGCTCAGTAGAGTGGAAGTTAAGACAGTTAAGAAACATCACTTTAAAATGAGTGAATCAATGTTATGTGATTTCTGAGCAGAAAAATGTACCTCAAGTTGCACAGGCATCATGTGATTCAGGGTTTCAGAGCCAGTATCCTGAGAGATTAGAAAGAATTGGGAGACGTGGTGTGGGGCCCAGGACCTTTAATACCCAGAAACACATTTTTCCATTTAAAAGGATCGTGAGAGGGTATAGCAGGTGTGCCTAGGGCTCACATTCAGCAGGAAAGAAAACTTGTTTTACTTTCACACAGTTTTACAATACAAAACCCACAGAGGCAATTTAAAATGCTCAACTGAAGTGAGGCTTAAAGTCTGGATTAACCCTCCAGCTAAACTGCAGCTACTTTTAAAAAGGTGGTCTTACACTTATATACAGACAGAGTTCTTAACAAGTGAAACACACAGACTTGTCCTCTTATGCCCTGTATGGCAATTATTCTGACAGTACAGAGTGAAGACACTCTTTCCTCCTTATTTTGTTTTCTTTAGCTCTCATGGTAGTGAGATAGATATCTGTGTTGAGCTCTGGAGACCTCCATCTGGCCAGTTAAAAGCTGAGCGTACTGACTGCCTTGACCGCTAATGGGTCTTGCGGGCAGCTGAGTCAAAGTCTGGTCTCCACGGAGACGGGTCTGACCAGAGAGAGGCACAGCTGAGCTGCAACGATTGATCGGCTGTGTGTGCGTGCGTGCGTGCGTGTGTGTGTGTCTGTTTGAATGGACGCACATGGCCAGCTCTCTGCCCTCCTCCTCCCTGTGTTTGGTTGACTGACAATAAAAGGTTTGATGGCAGGTAATCTCACACTTGCCCCAGAAGAGATTACACTGAGATTAATGGCTGTAATGAAACGATTGGACAGATGGCAGGACGTCCTGTACTTTCATTTAAAGGAAATTTTCAGGTTTTTAGTGTGTGTATAAATGGCACATCGAATGAAAATATATACAATCAGCAATTTTGTTTAGTTAAGTCACAACATCATCAAGTCAACTTCTAGTTGAAGTAGTCATTCAGCGTGCGTACATGCCAATCACTTCCTCCTCTCTGCTTCTTTAAATTAATGATGATTTCTGCTTTTCCTCAGTAGAAATCTGCAAACGAAACATTTTTCTATGTGTGTGAGAGCTGTGAACAGAGGTGTTATGTTTGTGCGTTGATTGTCTGTCCATGCAGCTGCTGCTTTGCTAGTTGTAACCACTAACCAGTGTGAGGGATGTGATAATGCAGTTGTGATGCCGTTAGTTGATTTTGGTAGGATGTTTCAAGCAAGTGCTTTAGTTTATCCTGATTTTTCACATAGACTTTGCCCTCTCGTAAATGCTCCAGATGGCATCAACTGAGTCGCGGCTCCAGCAGCAGCCCTCGCAGAAGGATGCAGCCGACCAGAACTTTGACTACATGTTCAAGCTGCTGATCATTGGCAACAGCAGCGTGGGGAAAACTTCCTTCTTGTTCCGCTATGCCGACGACTCCTTCACCTCCGCTTTCGTCAGCACCGTGGGCATTGACTTCAAGGTCAAGACTGTCTTCCGCAATGACAAGAGGATCAAGTTGCAGATCTGGGTGGGTAGATTTGAGATAAATGAGAAGTTCTCTCTGCCAAGCTACAGCATCAGTTCATTCTGCCGTTTTGTTTGCCAGAATGAAGAGGAGCTTCATGTGTACTCTGTGATAAGCTGTTGTAAATCAGAGTGGATGCTCCATACTTCTAAAGGTGTTATTGGTTTAGAACATGTTAAGTCTTTCACCTCTTACTGAACAAAAGTCTTAAAAATACATTTTTCTCAAACTGTGGTTTGGCAGTTGTGCAAGTGTACCCTGTGAATTGTGTAAATGTAAAAAGCATGACTTCCTCATGTTTTATACGCATTTATACTTCCTACCCATTATCACGCATCTGCTAAGTGTCAACATTTGTTTAAAGGAGATGGATGGTGGTGCTTACTACAGTTTTAGTTGTAGTTTTAAGCCAGGGTTTGCCTGTTTTACCTTAGATCTAGTGGTACCGTGCCTTTAAGAAAAGTTATGGTATGAATGTTTTTTGACACTTTTTTGACCACCTTTTGTATCGGTATGGTGAACGTGTTAGCCTAGAACAGGGACATCGGACTCATTTTACATCAGATTAATTTTACATCGTGGGCCATATTTTGATCTTACGTGGGCTGGACAAGTGGATCTGCCTTTTCTGTCAGTTTAACTACACATTTACATACATGCAGTTTCAACAGTATTTCTTAAGTTTTCTACAAGCTAAAGAAATGCTCCTGTGGTAAATGAAAGAAATCTGTCCATACGATTTGGACTTAAGCTGTAAGAGGTAAATGTGTAAAATTACAGAAAAAGTTCTGGTAGCTCAATCTCCAGACTGTGCTGTATTTATAAAACAGAAGGTTTCTGTCAATTAATAGAAAATTTTTTCCAAAGCCGTTTAGTGGGCCGGATTATCTTTCCCGGGTCAATTCTGGCCCAGGCCTTATGTTTGACATCACTGTCCAAGCAGATACAATTTCTACTAAATCTTAAGATAAATTTCTGGATACTTAGCTACTGTTCACATGACTGTTCACTAGCTTTAACTAACTTTATCTGCTGATTACAGTGTCACCTGGATGCCAAGGTGGAAAAGTGTTCTCTATCGTGGGTTATGATGTCCTCTTCATTTAAATATAAAATGTGTTTTGACAAATTGGGCACAAATTCCTTCCTCTTTTGCTTCCAAGGTTGAGAAAGTAAGATGTATTCATTGTTTAGTTGCTGTACATTTCATGTAGACACTGATGCAATACGTTGTGTGCAGCATTTATAGCAGGCAAGGTGTTTTGATGGTGTTGTTTGTAAGTTAAACACCATCTGAAACAGTACAGTAGCTCCACAGTCACATTAGCACATAATGCTTCCTTGTTGTTGGAGTCTTCAGGTGTTGATTCAGCTGTTTTTCTGAGCTACAGTTTGTAGTATTGTTGCGTGTTGCATTCGACAGTTGATGTTGTTGCTGTAATTCACACCACTATTCCTCTTTGCTAACTCATTTTGTCATGCATGTTTATCACACAAGATCATGATTTTGGAGAATTTGCTATCGATGCTTTTCATGAATTTGTCATTTCTTTGACGGGCAAGCAGACATTACTTCCCCTAATAGTCATACAGTTAAGATAAAAATATCAAAACACACATAATTAGATTGTGAACAGTTTGATTATTATGAATAAAACTGTTAAGCCTTACATTAATTGTATAATGTCTACTGTGGGTCAGCACTGTAGACTATAACTAAAAGATGATGTACTGTAGAGCGGATGCAAACTCCGGGAAGGTCTGAAAAGTGAAGTTGGTGAGATGGTCTTCTGAATAGAGCTGCTCGATTGTGGGAAAAAAATCACAATTATTTTGTTCAGCATTAAGGTCTCGAATCTTTAACACAATAACTCTACATTTGAAAACTTTTTGTCAACTAAAGTCTCTCTTTCTGTCATCTTGGCCATAATCATTAGAAGTTCTAATTGTAATTTAATTTAAATGTAGTTGCACAACCCTGGCTTTCAGGAACTACTGCCGTAGTTGCAAAAAGAAGTCAAACTGAGTTGAAGTCTCTGAAAGAATAACCCTGCTTCTCGCTTGATTTATGACCTCAGTAAACACTTTCCCAATGAGTTTTCCGCCTCAGTTATTAACGTCAACACAACATTATGCTTGTTTTTTAAATTTTAGTTTATTTAGAGTAAATTACATGAAAGAGCATTTTGACAGGTCACTATTATATGAGGATCCACCCCACACTGTAACAACAGCCAAAATAGAGTTGGGGCTTCAAAAGGAACTTCAGTGGCTGACCCCACTTTTTAAACTATATGGTAACATCTGGTTAAGTCACTCAAATTTATCTGCAACATGGTGACAGGATGGCATGGGTGGATTACTAGTTTTTAAAAAATCGATGGGTAGTTGCATTATGGGAAATCTAGGATTCAGTATTGGACCAGGGCTGGGGCAAAAAAAAAAGTCAAACTCTGTTGTTTCACCCCAGTTTCTTTTTGTTCTTCTTTTAAACTTCCACCTTCAGAGAACTATAATGGGTACCTTTAAATGCCTGTGCCAGTTTTTGAGATGATACTTTTCCACCTTTTTACAGTTAGCAGTTGAGAAACAGCAGGAATCAGCTTCTATGATTGATCAGCCCCACTGACAGCTTTACTAACAAAGTTAACTTTGGAATGGGCTTTCATATTGTACTATAAGGTGTATCCTGGCAGCTCACCTTCCCTCACACTATGCTACAAATCCTGTCTATATACATTGTTTAGGCTGATCAAACAGATGATTCATTCAAACCAGCAATCTGTGAGCCACTGTATGATCCACAAACAGTGACCCGAATGAATCAGCAGCCGAGAGGAGCCCACACCAAAACACACAGTCACCTAGTGTGTGAATGTGTGTGTGTGAATGGGTGGATGACTGGTTGTGTAAAGCGCTTTGGGGTCCTTAGGGACTAGTAAAGCGCTATACAAATACAGGCCATTTTTACCATTTACTAAAACTGTGTCTCTTATAAATGACATGCAGCGTTAGTGGTGTTAGTCTAACAGCTGATCAGGAGGGAGAAAAAAAACAGCAGTAACTAACTTGACTGTGCACTTTGTATTCAATAATTAGAGGACATTGTTATGGGGTTCTACAGAAGCAGCAGTACTGATGGTGCTGTTGGATGACAAAGAAACCTGGTATTTCCTAAACTCAGGAAGCAGAGGAAGTTCCTTATCAGCGTCTCACTGAGCCATAGCGAAGATCGACTGCGAACTCAGTAGTGTATTTAAAGGGTGTGGGAGCAGCAGGCATGTCTTAAAACAAGCACTCTCTTACATCGTGTTAATATTTAACTCTGTAATAATTCAGGAATGCTAAATTAAAGTTGGCTACCTAACATAAGAGAATTCACCAGAGCCTTTGACAAAGAGAGTTGCAGATTAAGCCATTGTGCCAGCTGCCAGCCTCACTGTGTGTATCATGGAAAGTAGTCTGATAACGCACCACGTGGCCCTTGCACAGTGCATGAACATACAGGAACTCATGTACAATATGAACACACTGTGCACACACACTGTGTACATCCCTGCTCTCATGTCATGGAAATAAATTTCCTTTCTTTAAGCAAACACACACACCTTTTGCACATTTAGCACTACACAGCCGCACATATGCCCGGGCGTGCTATCCCTGGGGATGATGTCCTGTGTGTGCCACTGCTTCATGCCGGTCGCTTATATAAACGCAGGTGACGCATGTTTAAAGATCAGGGTCCCAGAGACGTCAGAGCTTCTGATTGTGCACAAGCCTAATTTAAACTCCTCCCTATCTGTCATCGCATATATGCACACGAGGGAGCAGCTTTTGTTTGGGGTTTATTGTAGCAACCTTGGAGACTGACTGTTTGGTTAGTAATGCTATTATGCTGCCAAATATTTGATCATCCCTTCGTGGATGAGATAAAGATGGACCTGGGATATATCACACGTTACTGAAACAAAAATAAACTCTGACAGAGCAGGCTCTGGAAAGATTAAAGAATAAAGCTTGAGCACTCTGCTCGAGGGATTTTACCAGCAGACTGCCCTCTGTGTTGGTTGTTTTCGTAAAGTGAGAAGGATCGCTCTGGTTGTCCACCTAGAGCAGTCCTAGCTGTAATGGAACATTCATAACCTTCAATGCCCTCTGGTTACCTGGACAACCCACTCTTCCTCCTCATCAAAATGAGGAAAACATCAGACACACACAGGCCCCTGATGCAAATTAAGGACTTTAGAAAGGTTACCAGGTAACCACGAGAGTGGCGGCGAGATAATCAACCAACTCACTCTACCTTTTTGATATTTTATGCTTTAATTGTCCAATAAATAAACTGAGCCGTTGGCTGTGATATTACACAGCCTCCAGGTGGTTAGTAATCCAAGCCACAAGTCCCGGTGTGATGAGAAATGATTGTGGCAGGAGCTCGTATCTAAATGCCATCTTCCCCTGGACTGTGTGGTGCAGAGAAATGGCATTTTGAAGCAATGCAGCCAGTTGGTTTGGAAGAAAAAAACTACATGAAGGTCTCACAGAGTGCAGCAGAGCCTTGACCTACCCTGATATTTACCAGTACATGTCTAATAAAACCAAATACAAATCTGACTTGAATTTAACTTAAAAACAATTGAAAAGAACTTACCTAACCAGTACTAACAAGAATCATCAAAGCTGGTGAAACTAGGAGTACTAGTAGCATCATTACATGAAAAATAACCCTATCCCCACCTTCTGCTTAAAATAGCCATCCCTGCAAGATATTTCTAAATTATAGGATGTAAATGCAATTATAGGGCATTAATGCTGTAATGGATGACTGTCAAACTTGCTCTACTTGGACTGTGTAGTGTCAAGTCAAAGCTGACACCTTAGATAACTGTTACTTGGAAAGAGTCCAGGGTTAGTGTTGGCAATACTGCCCCCTTGTGGTTTAAAATCATATACTGGAGATTTTTAACCTTAAAAATGTAAAGTGAATGAAGCAGATAGAATGAAGTATTTCATGGACTGTGTATTTTTGTATAATTGCAGGACACGGCAGGGCAAGAACGCTATCGCACCATCACCACAGCCTACTACAGAGGAGCCATGGGCTTCCTGCTCATGTATGATATCACTAACCAGGACTCCTTCAACGCAGTTCAGGACTGGTAAGTGTGGAATGAGTGAAAAGCTTTACTATTAATACTGTCTACATTAGATTATGTATTTGTAATTTTGTTTTATCTAAAAAAAACAATTAAAAAAATACATTCTCGAGTATTTTATCTAAAGTGTGAAGTTGATGCCAGTTGATGGAACATGAAGGGGTTTTTGGTATGTTAGTGCCATCATGTGGTCAGTTGTGAACTGAGACGTAAACGTGACATCCCTGTTCTTCTTTGTCCTTTTTATATACAGTTAGAGCAATAATATATTGTACAAAGTTAAGTAGTTTTATCTCTGTACACAGCCACAGTGGAAACAATCAAGATATGACTGAAGTGCAGATTTTCAGCTTTAATTGAAAGAAATGAACAAACAAAATCTTTAATGGTTTAATAGTAACGTGACTTATAATGAGGCCCAAAGATGGTGCCATTGATGTCAGTGCAAGTGAGGGAGGCCATCAAAAGGCAGAAAAATAAAAGTAAACCTATCGCTGAGACAGCACTATTTTAGGAGGAGCCATTCTTCAAAATAATGAATGCAGTGGCCGCCTCAGCAATACCAAAAAGCCTGAAAGACAACAGAAGACAAAATACATGATTGGAGAGTTCTTTTCACAATTAAGAAAAACAGCCTCTCAACATCTAACCAAGTTAAAAACACTCTTGAGAAGGTATCATTGTCAAGGTCTACAATCAATCCTTTGTGAATGTACATATAGAAGGTATCTAACAAGTCCTTTTATATTTACATTCACGAAGGGTGAATGTGAATATAGAACTTCCTGTTCGTCTCAAGAAGAGGAAGTTCAAAAGAACATCTAAAAAATCTAAAAAAAGTCTGTGCAGTTCTGAAAATAATTCTCTGAACAGATGAAACCAAGATGAACGTACCAGAATAATGGAAAGAGAAAAGTGTGGAGAAGGAGAAAACTGCTCATGATCTGAAGCATACCACAAAGAAATTGGAGATACTTCAAATGCCAAGTCAGTCACATGATCTCAACCTAGCAGAGCGCTTCCCAGTTATTAACTTAAAATTTGAATGCAGAATGATCCACAAAGAGCAGCTGAAGGTGGCGGCAGTAAAGGCAGCATCTGGTGACATCCATGGGTTCTAGACTTCAGGTGTCACTGTCTGAAAAGGATTTTCAACAAAGTTTAAAAAAGTCTTTATATTTAAATTCATGTTAGTTTGTCCCATTCATTTTGAACATCTGAAAACAATGTATTGTGTATAAAAATAGCTGAGTTATAGGTGGAAGTCTGCAGTTCAATCATATCTTGATCATTTAACACCCACTGCAATGGTGTATGTGGGCAAACTTCAAATTTGTGTCACTGTCTAACAAGGTATGGACCTCAATGTATTTTTTTTTTGCCAGATTTCCCAAAGAGTTTAGTGAATCTACAGCAAATATGCTACTTATCATATTTGGATGATTCTAAATAAAAATGTTTATTTAAAAACACTCAACAGCACTGGATAGCTGGTTTTTACCCCTCAGCCGTAATGTCGTCACCCTGACGTAGACACTGAAGTTTGTGAACTTTAGAACAAAGGGATGTAGGAGTTTCAAATTGATACCGTAGGTATATCTACTAAAAATCTCAAAACAGTTCAAAATCAGTGATCCCAGCGTCAAGATCAGTGGGCAGAGGACAAGTTTTCTGAAAATGTTGTGAATGCGATAATTTGAGAAGGACGTCACCCAGGATTTAGAAATTGATTCCATAAATGTATCTAGTAGGAGCCTGAGGGGTGAACCCCCTGCAGGGGGTTTAGATTCTTGTGGTTTGGAGTTGCAGCCCAAATTAGATGAGAAATGCATTGCCGTGCTATATTAATGCAAGAATTTGTAAATAATGTACAATAAAGTCTATATTTAACTGAAAGTAGTACAAAGTACAGTAGACAATACAAAAAGTACAAAGACAACATATAAACTGTTGAAACTGAGAAATCATATAGCTTTTAGAAAAAAAATGCTCATTGGAGATGAGATGAGATGAGAGACCAGTAATGCATTTGAAATGTATTTGAAATGTATTTGAAATACATTTCAAATGCATTTTAAAAAACGTCATTAACAACAGGCATAACTAGGAGTTTAACTCTATGATCTCAGGAACAATTCTGAATACTATTCTCTGTGAACACAATTCTTCACTGCGTCCTTATATGCAGTTTAATCTCTGTCATGCGGCTGGCAGGTGATTGGCCTAAACCTCTTCAGGGCAGTCTGAGGTCAAGTGGAAAACTGTTCTGTGACTGATGATTCAAAATGTGGGAATCATGGATGCCACGTCCTCAGACTAAAGAGGGTTGGGACTGTGTGGGTTGGTATCAGGGACATGTCACATAATCAATACATTTGGTGCATTATAAAATGAAAACTTTTGTGCAGTTGGAATCCTTTACCAAGAAAGAAGAGAAAACATTTAGCTTTCAAAACAACAGTTTTATTGACACTAGGAAAAACTCGCCCTATATATCTTTTTTCTTCTTTATTCAAAACAAGAATGATTAGCAAAAAGCACAAAATATTTAAAATGAAAAATTTTAGATAAAATGTAGTATTACTTGCTGAAGGGTTCATTCAGTTGTGATGGTTGCTAAAATGTCTTTGGCTTTGGGCGCTGGCGACCCAACACTGCATTGGCAAGGAGATAACAGAATGAAAAGGATGTATATGAAGATGTAAAACAGTGGGGTTTATAATAAATCGTTTTTTTTAACATATAGATATTAATAGTTGTTGTATATGTAACAATGTTTTGCGTATACAATGGTCCCTCGGTAAAACGCGGTTCACCTCGCTGTTTCGCAGATTTTATTTTTGTGTGTGTGTGCAATTTTGCATACCTTTTTACAGCGCATTGTGTTCTGCATCCTGATTGGCTGTTGACTATTTTCAGTTGATCTCGTGCCGTGTCTCCTGCACAGTACAGAATGCGTTCAGCTTGTCAAATTTACATAAATCTTCGATCGCTAGCAACATGACTCTGAAGTGCTGTACTGTGTGTTTGTAAGTTTTCTCCCCAACAAACACAACAATGTCGACGAGACGTCATCACCTGCGGGTGCCTTTGGTTTCATTCTATAATACTGGACTTATTTGTCTGCAAGGTTTGAACTTCGAGTGTTTAAACAAGAAAGAAAAGTGAAAATGTTCATGCCTGTCTGAGAAAACTGTCTAAAGTGTGTAGTGAGGGGTTTTACAGCCTTAAAACATTTATAATAATTGTAAAAAATAAAGTTGGCTACTTCGTGGATTTCACCTATCACGGGTTATTTTTAGAACGTAACTCCCGCGATAAACGAGGGACCACTGTATGTTATTCTGATTGGCTTACCCGTTAAGAGATACAGTTCATGCACACATATGTATATACATATGCTTTGATCATTATAGTAAGAATAGTTTAATCAGAGTGTCCTATATATATGCATTTTTTTTCTGCTGTTAATCATGTAGACTTTGCAACTCTGGTTTTGTCTTTCAGGGCAACACAAATCAAGACATACTCGTGGGACAATGCTCAGGTGATCCTGGTTGGTAACAAGTGTGACCTGGAGGATGACAGGCTTATACCCACAGAGGATGGCCAGCGACTGGCTGAGGAGCTAGGTAAAAGCCGTTAGTGTCACAGTGTTATTTCTTTTTAGCTTAGAGTCTGCAGACACGTTTGACTTGTCTTTTTTGTAGATTCTGACATTAGTACATCTATTTTTCATAGCAGATGAATTGAAATACCATTTAGCTTTTTGACTTTGCTTCATGTCAGGTTTTCAGTTCTTTGAGGCCAGTGCCAAGGACAACATCAACGTCAAGCAGGTGTTTGAACATCTAGTGGATGTTATCTGTGAGAAGATGAACGAGAGCATGGAAGGAGACGCCAACCTCATAGCCAACCACAGCAACCAGGGCCTTAAAGACTCACCTTCAGAGAGCCACGGGGGCTGTGCTTGCTAAACCATCTGCCTTCTTAGTCTCCCAACACACACACACACACACACACTGAAGAATAACTTGTCTGTGCCTCAACCATGAAAAGTGCCGCACCTCCCCTTTCACTTGAGCCATACCGAGCTCTGCCCCATCCACACAGCACAAATAATCTTCAGCACATCCTCCTCCTCCTCAGACCTGTCTTTCCTTCGAAGAGACCCACTCTGTCACTTTCTTTCTCTTAAGGGAGACTTTAAGCCTGCAGACTTTAAGCCGCCACATACACCTCTTTGACTGCTGTAGCCCCATTAACTACCACGTGAAATCTAGTGAAACATTTATTCAGTGCATTCAGTTTTCTTAGACAAATATTTTTATAGACAGCAACAAGCTAGCTATCAGTTTATCTTGAAATTTTTGATTTGATCGATGAACTGTTTAAATGTGTTATACTGTAGAAACCAGTAATGTCAAGTTCCAATAGGACTTGTCTTCGGTCTAATATTTATTAAGGTATTGATTTCTGATGGATTTTAGCAGCTCCGAGACGTTTTGTGCTTAATGAGTCTTGTCCAGGATGCTCCCCTCTAGGGACTGATTAAAGGAAGGAAACATGAAGGAGTCTTGCACAGCGTGCTGAAAGTTTTCAGCATTGCCAACCCTCAAGGGCAAGTTTGACAAGAACTTTGCTTTCTTGTCAGGAGTAAAAAAAAAAAAAAAGTACCACTGCTGCATATGGTAAGTAAAACTACTGCCTAGAGCTGGTTAACTTAGCCAAGCATAAAGACATCGATATACTAAACTTCATATTCAAAACATACTTAGACTCACTTAGAATATAGTAAGTCAGTAGAAGCGTAATAACTACTGTACAAACACGTGTGACCAGTCTACTCCAGTCTAGAGCTTCCCTTCACCTCTTCTTCTTGCTGTTTACTAAATGTCAGGTCTGCCACACAGTGTGATGTACTAGTGTCAGCAAGCCCCTCATGTGACATGTCCTCTGTCCGCCTTCTGTCTCACACACACAAACACACACATACTGCTCCCTTAACTGTAGCATGGTACTGTGTTTAGTAGGTGAGCAGTTACAATGTGGTGAATTATCTTTTTTTCCCTTTGTTTGTTACTGACACGACTGTTTTCAAGAAGTGCAGCACATTATGTGTGTTTGTGCCCAGAAAGGGGGACAACCACTGATCTGTGAGGACGATAAGTCCGGACACCAACCGTGCTGTTGCAACTATCAGGAGGAACAGTGAGCCGGTGCAGAGCATCACTTTATTCCCCATTACTGTTATAAATCAATGTGAATAAAATGCAGTTTTAGAATGACTCCACATAATTGTATTTTATACATCTTGTTTTGTTCCTGCTGTTTGGACAAGATTTCAGTGTTGAAAGGTCAGTTTGACCCTCCTGAAAACGTCATCCTGATGGGAAAGATTGAAATTTGGAGCGTCTTTTGGATTTCACCACAAATCAGGGATGGGAATACAAGAATTGTGTGTTGTTGTTTTGCAGACTGTTGACTGTCAGTTAGTATTAACCATAGCCTCTGTACAGCGATAGCAGCCTCACACTGCTAACTGCTGGTCAGCCCACTCCCTGCTACTGTACGAGTCTGCGGCCACTTATCGCTCGTGTCAGCATGTGCTGCTGAATAGTGATATAGTTTGACAGGTATTAGATGTTATCATATCACGTGTCTGTGGCATGCTGCGCTTTGATGCAGGGGTCTAAAATAGGGAAGTTGTGTGCAAGATCAGTAATTCATAACACTATTTGTATTATATCATGCAGTTTTGCAGTGTATTAAAATGGCATGCAAAAACCATGTTTCTCTTACTGAGCTTCTGATGGGGACTGCTGCTTGAAACATGCTGTTCTGCTCTGTCCACTGATATCACATTTTAGTTCAGCAGGTATCTGCCATTGTGCTCAGACGCTCTTGTGCAAACAGGTTTGAACCTCAGCTTTTAGTCCTAGAGATGTTCTTTCTTTCTTATGCTTATGGCATATATATTTTAATGTCTTACATTCCTGATTGATAGCTTTCTAAAAGATGGGAGATTAGACCCTTTGTGCTGTTTACTATATATTCTGAATGTGCAGGGTGAACCCATTGTTTGGAAAGAAAAAAGTGCATCTTGTAAACAAGGACAAATGTAGAAATCTGTTTATGAAAATAAAGAATATATTCACTACAAAAAAGACGGGGGGGAGCACAATAGTCTCTTCAGCTCATAAATGAGTTCTGAAACCTGCACACGTGTCTTTGCGGTCATGGCTACATCTAAGGTTTAATTTATGACCAGGAATCACACATCCTAACCCCAAACATCTGTTTTATCTGAAGAAACAGAGAAACCACATTCTGTCCTTGTCCTCCGCAACAATACAGATGTCTTCTTCCTGCCATAAGACACAACTTCCCTTCCCTATGCAAGGGAGGCCTCTGCTTCTAAATAGAATTCTCACTTAGCTGACTGGAAGGGATGTGAAACTGAAGTGAGCAAATGTATGCAAATGTGTCATTATTTAAACAAAACGTAGCTCTTTACGTCGGTGCCCATCTCACAGTCATCATACTGCCCTTTGTAAGTGATGTAAACACGTGCTGAATTGCATTTAAACTGACGGGGATGGGCTGAGACTACTTATCTTGGGTGAAGAAACAGGGCTGTCTGCACCTCTGATAATACTAGCCAAACCAAGAAAACACGGGGGTGCAGTGAGTAGATAAGGAACCGTTTAGGCCTGCTTCGTACAGAGTGTGAGTGGGTACTCAGCGGTTTCTGTTACATGAGCACATGCAGGAATGAAACTGTCCCAGGAGACAGCAGGGGACTACAGACCACCTCCTCGGGCCAGTCAGTGTTTGCGCACCATTTCCTCAAAAAGGGCTGTTATCTATCTATCCATCTAAATAACCATCTATCTATCGATCGAACTCTCTATCTGCGCGCCTTTACGCAATACAGATCTCAGACGTCGCAAACATGTTGTAAACATCAATGAGCGCGTGATTCCCGCCCACCATGCCAAAAAGTTCTGAAAGACTTTATTTGCCCCACCTCTTCTGTTCTCACTCAAGGAGAAAGTAAACAGCTCGGCGTATAAGCACCTTATCGCTCACGAGCAGGCGCGTAATAACCGCGCAGCGCTATGCATGGTATCGAAACACAAAACAAGCGAGGAGAGAGCTGCGGCAGATGTGTTTGTGGCAGGTTGTTTTCCGGTGATGCAGGTGGACAATAGAGGGCCGAGGTCGTTCTGTTCCCCGAGAAGACATGATGACATGTGAGATTCTGAGTAGACTGTTGGCACTTTGCGCGATAGCCTGCATCGCGCGAGCGGGTTCCACCCTCCAAGACGCTCGAGATTTCGAGGAGAAAGGTAAGGCATCTTTTGGTTTTGGTTTTTTTCTGGAACTTTTCAGGAAGGCGTTAGTGTGCTCCTATCATGCCATTTCACATAGTGCTCTCACATTTCCAATTTGCCACCCTCAGTGTCCATTCTCCTGAAAGAAGAACCAGAAACCCCCAAATGCTTTGCTGAAGGGAGGAAGGACTTCACGTGCTTCTGGGAGGAAGATGAGGAGAGAGCTGGCTCTGTGCATCAGTACTCCTTTACATACACCTACCAGTAAGTCACACTTATTATTAGATAAAATGAGTCTATGTGGTGATTTTTCCTTTTATCTCTTTTCATATTACACAACCTACAATGAAAGTATTTCAGGGTGGTTTCAGGAGATACCCCTTATACTTTTTTAGGGTTTTTTTTTTTTACCGCTTCAGTTCCAGAGCCTATTATTAAAAAATAATCCAAATGCTTGATTTGTTTACAAAACAAAAACTAAAATACAATATTATTATCACAATGTTCCCATTTTCCTCTATCCTGAGCAGAAATGAAAACAGCAGCAGGTGCCCCCTCAGTGCCGTCCCTGCAGCAGGTGGGAAAATGCTGATTGTATGCCATCTGAACCGAATTCAGATGTTTGTCCAAATGGACATCCAAGTTCATCGGGAGGGAATACTGATACACAATCGCAGCCTCCTCATCGAACTCGTCTGTAAGTGATGTTTTTTTTCTGCAAACGGTGCTCCTGCCAACAACTTCTGCAAAGCTTAGCACTAGATTAATGCTTTTTAAATACGTTTTTAAGTATTTGTGCCTTACATTCTGCACTAACATGGTTCAAAGTGATGGTTAAAGGGGCTATGCACCTGCTGAGTGCCTAAAAACAAAATTGTGTACTGTAGGTTGAAATAACTGCCATCATCTGCCCATTTCTACTAAGTATGCATGCAGCATTGCATCAAGGTACCTATAGATTGAGGGGAAGTGTTTCAAAGTGAGACTTTGCAGGGAACAGTCTTCCCTTAACTGCTATGCAACTCTATGTCTGTGTGCAGTTCTTCTGGATCCTCCTGCTAATGTAACAGTGAGCAGCACAGGTCAGCAAGGCCAGCTGAATGTCAGCTGGGTGCCACCTCCTCTGAAGTACATGGATGACAGCATGATGTATGAGGTCTTCTATTCTCTGGCTGACAGCCACATTGGGCAGGTAAAGCAGCCTCACCCATTTGAACATTAAACTCTGAGCAGCAGGTTTAATGATGGCCGCACATGGACTTTTTGGGGCTTTTTTGCAGGTTGAAGTGGCCCGGGCATGCTCAGAATATATCTTGAGAGGCCTGCAGTTCAGTAGAAAGTACAAGGTTCAAGTCCGTGTAAAACTGGATGGAGTTAGCTACAATGGCTACTGGAGTGCTTGGAGTGACCCAGTGTTCATGGAAACTCTTCCTACAGGTGGTTATTCACATCAAAATGCATAACAAAAATGTATTATGTACCCCAAAAGCACTGGCAACTCATGAAAGGGACTAAATGATGCCATGGTTTTTTTTTTTTTACCGTATTCAGTGATCTAACACACATTGATCATTCTGTTCCTCCCCTAGAATTTGATCCACTCATCATCTCCCTGACGCTCATCATCTCTTTCATCTTCATTGTCCTGTGTCTTGCTATGCTCCTGTCCCATCATAGGTCAGTCAGCCTGGCCCACACAAACAGATTGCTTACTGTCTGGTCTCAAAAAATGTCCTTCAAGAATTTTAAGTGGCAATAACAGAAAACACAAGTTGTGAAATATATCTTAAGAGTCTGTTCCTTTTCTAGGTTCCTTATAAAGAAGATTTGGCCAGCTATTCCAACTCCTGACAGCAAATTTCAGGGTCTTTTTACCATTTATGGTGGGAACTTTCAGGTAAGAAAAATATTAAGAGTCTACAGCCATGCAGACTGAGCCTTAGCCTGGCACAATGACACTTTGAGCTTAATGTAACATGCTCACATCAACACCATCATATTCTTTTTGTTTTTCTATAGGAGTGGTTAGGGCAAACCAATGGAGGTTTGTGGTTGACGCCAGCTTTCATCTACTCAGAAGAATGCCCCTCTCCTCTGGAAGTACTCTCAGAACTGAGCCTATGCCCCTCACTGCCCTCTCCACCTCTGCCACCCAAGGCCTCTAGAGCTTTGAGTGCAGTCAGGAATGAGGGCAGGGAATTGAGGAATGGGGTTGAAGAGAGAGCACTGTTGGTAAAAGACAATTTAGATGGCGAGACAGATGGGGAAAGAGCCGCACCGCACCACCACTGGTTACTGGACCGCTTGCGGGCACTCCACCAGCACCAGGTTCCCTGCTCGCAGTCTTCTCTGCTGGAGTCTCAAGACACCTACGTCACCCTCAGTGCCAACAACAACAGTAACGATGAGCGCGTGGATAGCAATCTTGAGGAAGCCTTGCCCCTTGAGGCTCTTTTTCCCTCTGGAAATACAGCATTGTGTGAATCTCACTCTGACCTGGGATCAGCGCCTCAAAGCTCTGGATCAGGTTGCATTTCTTCCCAGTCCAGTTTTGAGTACCCAAACCATGCCTGGATGGCCAAGGGCCCCGGGTACACCTACATGGCAGTGGCAGACTCTGGGGTCTCAATGGACTATAGCCCCATGAGCAGAGTTGATGAAAATGGAAAAGTGCCCGTCTACACTAACGAGTACAAGAACATGATCCCTGCTCACAGGAAACCCTTCTTGGTGAGGCAGTACCCTGTCCATGGTGATGGCTGAGAGGAAGCTAAACTGTTTTAAAACAGACTCTGTAAGGGAATTTGGATATTCACCCAAGGCAACATGGCTTCCCATCAACTGTTACAAAAGTAACTGGGGAGGTGACTGACACCACAGTGTAAGCTAAAGAACTCTGTACAGGACACTGAGGGATTGAACTTCTTGAGTTTCTCCACCATGAAGAATTTTGTAAAGCTTCATGTTAAGGCATACATATTGACCATTAACAGGTTTCTTATTAGCATGCATACTGGTAGCAGACTGGTTCTTTATTAGTCACTATAAAGCACTTTCTGATGCTGCAGTCTGCACCATATTCTACAAATATAATTAATTTGCTATCTAATTACTGTTCATTGATGGTAAATAAGGAAGTAGTTATTCATAACCTATTGCCAATATAATAGCAGTTTTCCTTTTATAGCATTTAATGAATACGGGGTATTCTTGTGAAAGACTGCACAAAAGTAAGTGTTAATAGTGTTAAAAAACCTGTAGGTTCACAGAGGTGCAAAGGAGCAAGAAGTACAAACTTGGCACAGCTAACACCATTCTCCTTATTAATTGATAGCATACTTTTGTTTTCATATCATGTTTAAGGTATAGAATAAATGTACTGCTTTAACTAAATTTTATAATTTTCAGCTGATAGAGCTTTTATATTTCTCAGCATGTGGCACCGTTTAGCACCCTAATTCACACATCACAAAAGCTACACAGACAAAAATGAACTTGCTTAAAGCAGTTCATGCTGCTTGGTTAGAGCAGCATTCTCTATATAATGCTTTCCGTGCAGCATAACAGAATTTTAGGTGAACAAAGCAGTAGGAGTTATGTCTTCTTGTTAGAAGTAATGCGACTTTCACATTTTTTACATTGTTATAAAGTCAAACTTCAAGTTTCGGCAATCTTTGATAAATTGTATCATTACCGACATTAAACTGTGAAATAGCACCTACGTACTCAATCATCCAATTACCAGAAGAAACTTTGTACAAACATCATCATTGTGCAAGAACAAGCTCGTCATCACAGCTGTTGCTACTTAATTTTTCATCATCACTGCTGTGAAAAAGAAAGTTGTGTTGTTTTTTTTTCAAACTCAGATTACTCAGCATCAAGTGTATATTATTCCAAAACGACAAATAAACTTAGCTTGGCTAACATTTGCTAAAATCTATAACGCTCTCTGTCTTTTTAAAAATAATTATGGCAAATCTGGCAGCCATCTGCAGTTATGAAAAAGCATGCCCTCTTTCAGTTAATGGAACCTCCATTGTATTATTGTAGGGTCTTTACCCCACAATATAAAGGGCCATGAGGCAATCTTGCTGTGATTTGACGCTATAAAAATATAATTGAATTGATCTGAGTTCTCGAGCTTTAAGTGACAGGTGTACTCAGTCTTTCTATACTGCTCCTGCATTTTGGCTTTGCTTTTGATAAGTAATATATATTTTTAATATGTTATTTGTAGGTGTTCATTTGAGGTTTTTTAAATTTTAAGAACTTTTGGATATTTTGGATCATATCCAAGTGTGAAACTCACTGTACTTGTACATAATAATACAGTTTTTGTTTTCTGTTTTTATCACAATTGTTTGAGAGGATGATCAAATCTGTAAATTGCTGCCATTTCCAAGAAAACCTTGGATCTTGAAGTAAAAGAAATCTAGTAACCACTACTAATGCAGGGCGTGGGGACATTTTAAGCCAATATCCATTTTCATCAATCACTCCAAAAAATTGATTTCCATACTTTTGCACATCCTTGTTTGATTTTGTTGCTCAATAACATCTAGCAACTGAAATTGTAGTTACTCTAAAAGCACGATTCTCAACACTGTTGAGTTATTTTAGTCCAGCAAAGTGTGAAATGGCAGGAAAACAAATTTTATAGCGCAAAAACTGACAACTCGCTAGCTTTCAGTTAGTTTGCGAAAGCTTTTCTATAATAAAGTTGTCTTTTCCCCTACAAACAGGATCTAGCTCTTTACTAGGGGGAACTCCCCAATGTGTATTTCTTTATGCTTAAATATACATAATAAGAGAAACTTTTTCATTTTGTAATTTATTTGAATGTGATATCAGCTACTGAAGTCTCGAGTTTCACAAATTATGATAAAAGAAAGACAAACAGAAAAGCATTACACTGTGTGTTTATTGGAATTTACAATGTGTTTTAGAGACTTTTTGCTCTGTGTCATTTTGGCTTGTTATTAAGGCACTCTCAGCCAAAAATGTTGGAAAACCACTGTTTAGTTTAAGACATTCACATTCCTTAAACGTCTTTGTAAAGACTGTTAATGTTTTTGATTAACCTTCATGTCATTTAAAATTCAAACTCATTAAATATTGTACTGTTACAGCTGTTATGGTCCTTTTACCTGATATCTGAAAGGAAGAGCTTTTTCCCCCCATTTTTTGATAATCCTGTGACACTGTAATGTAGCTGTGACTACCGTCTCTACACAAAGTTTCTCTCAGACCAACTTAAACTCCATTAAACCATCAGGAAAAATGAAGAGCTTCCACTCTTGGGCTACACCTGGCCTGTCGTTATAGTCTTCAGTAAAAGAAGGGTCTGTGATTCCTCTCCCAGAAAGGTAAATGTGCCACACTTCCTGTACAGCAGCTGCTGTAGCTTCATAGCCGCTGTCCTGGTCCAGAGTACAGCGTACCTGGAAATAGCGGTCAAGTACATCAAGGATAGGATCTGTTCCAGATGGATCCCCACCAGCGTTCACCTCCGACAAGAAAGAGGCAATAATGCGGCAGGGGGCTGAACTTGAACCCCGCTGTTCCAGGACTTGCGTGAGAAAGGCAGCAGTGTCACACAGCAGCGCAGCAATGTGCGCAGCGCAAGACCTCTCCCCAGGGTGAAATCCACTTTGGCTGCTGCCCCCAGGACCAGACAGGAAGCTCTCGAGTCTGTCGACTATGATGAGTGAAGGAGGTGTAGGGGACGTGTTGGTAGGCTCATGAAGGCTAGCCACCTGCTGGAGGAGTTCCTCCACTGTCCTGGGATAGGAAAACTTGATTTTCTTTGACAAAAAATATATAAATAAATAGATTATTAATAACAACAACAATAATAATAATGATAAATACATAAACACACAAAAAATGAAAAGCTAAATAAATCATGGTAGATTATTGATTTAACCACCTAATTTTATCACACCTAAAATACTTTTTAAATCTGGGGCTACAATTACATTTTTGTTTTAATTGCTGGGTAACTTTTAAGGCAATAATTGTTTTGACATTTTAATAATTGATCAGCAAATTATTATGGCATTGTTGCCTGTTTTGTATTATAATCATAACCTGCTCCATTTCATCTACAAAGGCTTAAAACACAATTATAATACTAGTGTTTTTTGCTTTATCCAGCTCCACGTGACACGTGGTAATAAATGCTCAATTGTTCAATTACTTGTGATTACATGTGAGTTTCTAATTTTCTAACTGCAATCAAAGATATTGATATAACAGATATTAACAAGTCAGTGACCAGTTAAAATTATGCACCATATCCATGGTTGTAAAAGTGTATTAAATTATTATGTGCTTTGATTGAGCCGTACAGTAATTGTAACCATGGCAGTGGCTGGTGTCTTTCTGCTGTGTTGCAACCCTAAACCACTTTCAACCTAAACTAGACCTCAGTTATTTCTTATAATATTTATTTGTTTCCCTGACCCAAAAAAGGTTAACAGATAACAATAAAAACGGGAGTTAAAAAAAGAGGGGTATCACGTCTGCTCAAATGTCATTTTAAACACTTACAAATGTCTGTAACGTTTATATATTCATATCATAAAACGTAAATAGCATTCACGGATTGGATGATCTGCAACTAAATGACTAAATAATTAAATAAAATGTAAGCACCTATGTTGGAAGATGAAAAAACTTCCATGACAACAACCCTCAAAACACTAACACACAAGGCACCTGGGCTACTAAAATGTTGTTTATCACGAGTAGTGAAAAAAACAAGCTTTTGCGAATTTGGGTACAGTTTAAACATAAAACGACCCCTACCTTTAGACTTTCTGGGCTCAGGTTGGGAACACATCTCTGCAGAGACGGTGGAAGGCTCTGGATCTGAGTCTGGGTAAAGAACATCACTTTTATGCCCATCTCCGCGGCAGCTGTGACGGAAGCCAAAAGCAGCACGGAGCGGCTGAGGCTGTGGTCTCCGACCACCAGGGTGCTGCAGGTCGTTGGTGACGGAGTAATAACTTTGACGTCCTTCTTTAAATCGGATTGTGACATAAACGTCCGAAAAACGAGCGACAAAATATCAGCCATGTGTCACAATCCCACAATCAACGCTTTACTAACCAAAAATGATGCTCTGGCTCAAGCTTCCCGCGTTTGTTTACATGGTGCACGATGGTGTTCGTGCTACTGTAGTCCGGATGCAACGCATTGTGTCCATTGTAACGTTCCGCTCGGTCCACACGGTTCATATTTCTATTAGCATTTCACCGATGTCTTCGCCTAGCTTAAAAGGAAAAACTAGATATTGCCAACGCAAAGTTTATGAATCTATAGCGCGAGGAAGACGAGCTCAAAATGCATTGATATCAGTGTTTCCTGCGAGTCCTTACACAACTTCCGGCATGTCGGATAATCAAAGCATCAGCTGTTATGGCCAAGATGGCGCATCAGCTGGCAGAAGTGGAGGCTCCCCTGGACACAAACCAAGCCGGGGAGCAAGGAAAGGGTGTTTTGAGGCGCTGTAGGGGGCGACCCAGGCTCACAGACTCCGACCGAGCGCAGAGGCGGCTGGAATCCAGAAAGAAGTACGATGTCAGGAGGGTGTACCTCGGAGAGTCGCACAAGCTGTGGAGTGATCTCCGCAGGCGGACCGGTCTGAGCGACGCCGGGCTGGCAGAATATCTCATCCTACTCAACTCCACCTATGGAGAAAAATACCAGCAGAAATACTGCGGGTAGGAATGTGCTGCAGACACGTTATCTAATCAGAGTGGTATATTGACTAGCTGTTTTCTTCTGTCAGACATTGCTCTTCACATTTGTGCTAGTTTTAATCTTAAAGGGCACTTACTGTTATAACTGGACTCCACGAGGGTATATTTTCATAATTCACTGTTCAAAAATAATCTTTGTTTATGTCCTAGTTCACTGTTCATTCTCACTCCCCCTCCCCTTAAGCCAACTCTTTCCTGATTTGCTGCATATAGCAAACGGAAGGTTTGAAATAAATGTTGCAATTTGTAACATCATATTTAATACGAGTACCCACCATTGTAACAGTATGATAAAAAGCAAGCAAAAGCACAATAGTTCAACTTTAGATAAGTACTGTTTGTTTGTTGTGACTAATCTGTTTTTTCCAAATGATGTGTTTCTGTGTTGCAGGAAGAAGATTGCCCCAGAAGTCTCGGCAAAACAGAAAAGAGGTGTGTGGAGCCATTATTACATGGAAATATTTCCAAATTAAGCACGTAGGGTTTGAGGTTGGGAATGAAGTCTGTTTAAAGCGGCTCAGTTATTTGGTGTATCAAACTGGAGCTTGCCTAAATGTTTTCTAGACAAAAGTGCTTGCATCAAGTTAAATACACAGACAATAAAGATCCAAAATTTCACAAAGATCCAGAAGAACAGTTTTGAGGTTATAACTTAAAATGAGTATTGTATTACACATTTGTCATTATTTTTTAAGCAGTGTGTGAGTATTTATTTACTTATTCAACATAAAACTTGAGTACAGTGCCACATCCCAACACAAATCCCTATCCTAAAGCGGATATGCATGAAATGTTTCTCATATTGTTTAAGTGTGAATGCAAATGTTACTGCATTTTCTAATGTTTTATAACTAAAAATCAAGTTTTCAACATTATCAACATGTTATGAAAAATGAAAAAATAAAAATAGTATTAATTACATAATTGTATGTGAAATGTAATCAAAGCAGTCAAACAACTAGAACTTCTTTAAATTTCGGCTGGTCTCCTTTTCAAGGGGATTGATCTCTTTGTGCACCTCTTTTAGTGCTGCTACTATTCTTAGATCACACCGTAGGTGTCTTGTTCTGCACGCTTGCACCCTCCATCTTCAAATTATCCATCTACTTCAAACCTGTGGCATAGAGCAAACAGTCATATCTGTGTCAGACTGATCAGACGTTCACCAGTCATTAGAGCCAAGTCTGCAACTCAGAAGACACTTTCAAACATTGGAAGATGTCTTCCATGTCAAAGCCTGAGAAGCATGCTCATTTCTGTGGTGCTGCATGGAGAAATCCTTCAATAATCAGAAATCAGGATATTTCCTGATCTGTGGCACTTTGGCACTTGTTGTGCCATCATGCTGCTTAGGGCAATATTGTTCTTCACTACCTGCAGTACTTGCCTCATTTGCATCCCTGCTTCACCAAAGTGAACTTGTACTTGAAGCATTGCTTCAGTGGAGGAGATCTAGTGCAAGAGTTATGTTAGACCAGGACTTCCATGGAGTGATCTAAAATAGGCAGCATTTCTGCAAAAAGAAAGGTCACCTTGAAGCCAACTGTGACCAAATTTAAATCTTTTTGCTTTATGGATGTTTACACTGACTCAACATTTATTCTTCTTTGCTAAGGAATCAACTTTCATGTACGCTATTACTGCACGTGTTGAGTCTTAGTTGATATGTGGTTAATCTCATTCTATAAACTGTTATCCAACAAAAATTAATCTGCCATTCATCATCCATCTCATATGCCCCCCACCCCGCACCCTGGCATATACGCTCAGGCAGGAAGCAATGTGTGTCCAGCCTCCAGAGCCTGGTGTGTTGGTACCAGCAGCACTCGCACTCTTGCCCACACGAGCCCCAGCTTAGAGCTCTAGAGACCCAGTCCAACTTCTCCACCACTGCAGTCTGGCAATGTGAAGGCAACCACTCGTTTGTGCAATACCTTTTCTCACCTCTGGGGGAGGCAAGTGACTCTGAGCATGAGGAGGGAGTGAACAGGGACAGCGATGGAGAGTGTGCAGTCAAAACAGACGTGTCTGTAGCAAAAAACATAGTAAGCCGGAAGAGAAGGAAGGAGGCTCACAGACAGTTGAAAGGTGTGTAGAATCGTACTGTAAGTGTTTGTTTTGTTGTGTAGACTTCAGTAAATCCTACATTTCTTAATGACCAACTTGCCCTTTTATTAATCATTTTCTTTTTGTAGACGTGGGATTAAATGTGGATGTTTCTGAGGAACATCAGGAAGCTGTAAGCCAGGTAGAAGAGGTTGTAGTTCCAACCCCTGAAGCCAGCGTACTGGCCTCTTCCAAGGATGCTCCGCTGACAGGGCAGCCTATCTGGGAAGTGGAGATGGTGCGACAGCAAGGCTCCCTCACAGCGGCTTTTCACTCCGTCCCCACAGAGGAAGAGGAGGAGACTGAAGATCTGAGGCAAGGTAAGGATGGAGGGGAAGAAGAACGCCTCACAGAAGAGGAAGTCAGGACTGTTAGGCACGATTACGAGTGCGTTATGACGGCATCCTTAGCTGATGAACTTGACAAGTCTGATGAGGACTTGGTGCTGTCGCAGAGCCTGAGTGGCTCAGTGCGCCTGAGTGCTCAGACAGAACTGTCAGTCCCACCGACCATGCAGGTCCAAGAGCAGAGCGAACTGTTTGAGCCTCAGACTCTGCAAACGGTGGTGACCGGCTGTGAGATTCCTGACCAGAGGACGGCTTTGGAGGGCTCACAGGTAGGTAAACGAGTATTTCACAGAAATAAGACTGCAGGAGGAGTGTGTTACTCTTTTTCATAAACTACATTTCCCATCGTTCCTAGTTAATTATCATCACTGGCCCCAGCTACGAAGCCCTGGCATCCGAGGGAATCCAACTCAACATGGGAGGCGGAAATGTGGAGGAAGTCACCTGCACCGTCATTGGGGGCGTCACCTACAACCAGGTGTGCACGGCTGACTCGAAAATCAGAACAGCAGAGGATGAGGACTCCATGACAGGTGCGCTACTTTGGAACTCGAAATTTCTGGACTTTGAGATGAAATGTTCCTATATCTGTCAGTCTTTTGATGATCATTTGATACTCAAAGTGTTCAGTCTTATTGTAATAAATAAAGCATAATTAAAATTATCTGATGTTTTATGTTTGAAATGTAACATTTGTTGCTAAAAAATGAGCATAAAAGCTCTGAAGAAGTTTTGAAGTTGTAATTGTTGTAAGTTCCTAATAAAAACACAGCAATTAAATATTAAAATATTCAACTGTGCGCATCTTGAAAACTGTAAGCATTTTGTGAAAGTTTAGGTTCTATTAGGAATCACATCCATTCTGGGAATGATTTCCACTTTTAAAAGATGCTTACAGTAATCGGCTTCACTAAGTCTGCTGGCTGACTCTGTGAGAGACTGTCACATGTCCATAACTGACATCACTGGACATGCAATAAAGTGCCTCTTTTTGTTTTGGGTTTATTTAGTGTCAGCAAACTCCAGAGAAGTATATTTATATAGATTTGAATCATACCTGTTTCATGTAAACATCCCGTCCATTGATTTCCATGTGAATAAAACACAGAACTTGAATGTTATGATATGTTCGTGCTACTGAGATGTGTCAATTCAAGTTATATAAGCATATATTTGATTATGTTTATATAAATTTATATAAATTCATGCCAGTGTATATATGTCTAAATCACATGCATTTTAGCGCCACTGCTCGCAGTGGGCATGAACTTTGTAAAACAGGAAGTTCTAGATTACCTGTGTGAATCCCTTTTGCTCTCCTGCAACATGCAGCACCAGTCTGATAGTTTCTGACTAAATCCAGCCAACACCTAATACCAAGAAAGAGTAGCTGAGTGTAATGTGCACTGATTTGCATTTTGTTTTCTTTACACTTTGGATATTGACTTAAATGACTTGAATTTTCTTCCCAGCACTCAGATTTGACTAATGGGAGTCTTTATGTTTTCTCTAAAAGAATTTACTTGTCGTTTCCCTGCAGGTATGACTGACAAACAACTGCTGCAGCCCAGTGTTGACACTTTGGAGCTGGGCAGTGACAGACAGCTGCAGAGGAGTCTGAGCAGGTTTGAGACTCACGTACTCAACATCATCTTAAAAGCAAATAGAGAATGCCATTGTCATCAGGTCACTGTTTTAAGTTGGTCTCCTTAGTGTGCCGCTCAGTCCACTGTGCCCCTTTTTGCAATGTCAGGTCAAAGAGAAGCAGACGAGGCCCGGTGATCGAGGCTGATGGGATGCTCAAGATGTTCCACTGTCCGTACGAGGGTTGCAGTCAAGTCTATGTAGCAATTAGCAGCTTTCAGGTAAAGTTAATTAGTCATGCT